GCTCATACCCACACTCACACACACACACACACACACACACACGCTCATACCCACACTCACACTCACACACACACACACACACACACACGCTCATACCCACACTCACACACACACACACACACACACACACGCTCATACCCACACTCACACTCACACACACACACACACACACACACTCATACCCACACTCACACTCACACACACACAAAGATGAAATGACTGAAACAGACTGATTCTGATGAGAAGACATGATGTGTCTCATGTGTGTGTTTTAGCATGTGCTCTTCAGTTTCTCCATGAGAAGAACATCTCTCATCTGGACCTCAAACCACAGAACATTCTGCTGAGTGGAAACGTGCTGAAGCTCGCAGGTGAAACTTCATGACACATGAACTTTAATGTTCCAGCACATCACTGTCAGCACAATTATTACACTTGAACAGAACTGCACACACAAAATGCAAAATGCCTCGCATCTCTTGCAAAATGAAGTGCTGCATTCAAAATATCACAAACACATTTCAAAAGCAAACACCTTTGCCATAATATTAATTCCTGTTAGATGTGTGTGTGTTACACAGAGAACTGTGTGTTGTGTTTTGCAAAATGTGTTTTATGAAAATGAAAACCGAGTGTAAGTCTGAGAATTAGTGTCTGGTTTTGCAGATTTGGTGCATGCTTCTGATGTTTGAGTGCCGTGTGTGTAAGCAGTTTTCGGGATTGATTTTTCGCAGGTGTTTTCTAGAGGCTCACAGGGGTGTTTTGTTCACATGTCTGACGTCATTTGCACGAGTCTGTTGTGATTTTACTTCTCAGCATCTCATAATAAGGTGAATAACCGGTTGTGTGTGTAGATTTTGGTTTTGCGCAGTACATGAGCCCATGGGACGAGCAGCAGGCTCTGAGAGGCTCTCCGCTCTACATGGCTCCTGAGATGGTGTGCAGACGGCATTATGACGCTCGAGTGGATCTGTGGTCCGTCGGGGTCATCTTATATGGTGAGACACAAAAACACAATTTCATAATTGATAAGAAATAGAAATAATTAAGATTTAAAGGAGACATGTTATGCCCCTTTTTACAATATGTAATATAAGTCTCTGGTGTCTCCAGAATGTGTCTGTGGAGCTTCAGCTCAAAATACTCCACAGATCATTTATTATATGTTATTATTCCACTTTTTTGACCAACTGTATGTGTGTTTTGAGGGCAGAAGCATTATTTGGACGAGCCCCCTTCGCCTCTCGCTCATTCGCTGAACTAGAAGAGAAGATCCGCAGTGAGAAACCCATCGAGGTGAGAATCAACATCTGACTCACTGATTTGTGTTTACATTGTTACACATAAACAAAGGAGTTTCCATATCATAATCAATGTTATTTTTATTAAAAACACATTAAATGTTACAAAAAGCTTCTTTTTTTTCATTTGCTGGAAATGCACTCACCCTCAGGCCATCCCAGATCAGGATGAGTTTGTTTCTTCATCAGATCTGGAGAAATGTAGCATTGCATCAGTGTCTCAGCAATGGATGCTCTGCAGTGAATGGGTGCCGTCAGAATGAGAGTCCAAACAGCTGATAAAAACATCACAATAATCCACAGCACTCCAGTCCATCAGTTAACATCTGGAGAAGACAAAAGCTGAAACACATCCAGCATTAAGACGCTTTTAACTCAAATACATTGTGTGCATAATCCATAATAACTCTTCCTCCAGTGAGTCAGTGTTCTGGTGTGAATCAGGAGAGAAATCTGCACAGATCAAGCAGCGTTTAAACAGCTCTAAACACATATGTGGCTGGATTTTGATGTGAGAGACAACAGCGGATGCACTTTTTCACCGGAGGAAGAGTTATTATGGATTATGCACTCAGTGTATTTGAGTTAAAAATGTCTTAATGCTGGATTTGTTTCAGCTTTTGTCTTCTCCAGATGTTAACTGATGGACTGGTGTGCTGTGGATTATTGTGATGTTTTTATCAGCTGTTTGGACTCTCGTTCTGACGGCACCCATTCACTTGCAGTGAGACACTGATGCAATGCTACATTTCTCTCACTCTACTGAGTCACTCTTGTACACCTGCATTCTCTCTGCACCACTAGATGATGTGGTTGTATCAGACATTGCCGTGATCTGCTCTCTGTGTGTTTAGCTGCCGCCCGGAGCGCGAGTTTCTCGTGACTGTCGAGATCTGCTGCTGCGGCTGCTAGAGCGAGACCCAGAGAGCCGCATCACGTTTGACGAGTTCTTCCTGCATCCCTTCGTGGATCTGGAGCACATGCCCAGCGCCGAGAGCCTCGGGAAGGCCGTGAGTGCGACAGAGTCAGCGCAGATGAACTCACACTAACACTCTCGCGTGTTTATTTTAGTCCTGAAGTGGCAAAACCGCCGCTGCTCGTCTCTGGAGTCAGACGAAACTTCAGCAAATGTGTCACACAGATGCTGCTCTACAAACACGCAAACACTCGTTCAGTGCAGAGTTAGATCACATGAGTCTGTTGGTTTATTTTAGAGCTGCGTGCTGCCACTGATTTCCTCATTCAATTAGATTCTGATTCATAAGCTCTTGATTCCATTCAGATTTATTTATTTATTTAATATTTTAAGTCATATCATCATCAAAGGCTATATTTGTGGCAAACTCAAGAATGTTAAAATTTAATACTTTTTATACAATCATTTAAAATTAAAAAATAAATATAACAATTATTTACAATCTTTCAAAAATTATATTTTCACAGGAGAAACCTTTAAAAAAATGTCCTTTTTTTTTTTTTTTTTTGAGTAAAAAGGTTTCCTAGTATCATTTAAAGCGAAACATTAATAAAATATGGATTCTGTTCAGATTTTAAGTAGGCATTTTATAGTTATTATTCTTATTAGCCATACTCATTTAAATTCTAAAATGCTTTACTTTTTTTAATGCTTTCATTTCTTTCTAAATGACTTAAGAAGCAAAATGATTGACGATATTACATCTTGACAGATTTCTCAAAATGTTGTTAGTTTTTGCTTAGAACAAGAAAAATATCTGCCAATGGTGTAAGAAAAAAAATCTAAACTCAAAAGGAAAACAAGATTATTCTTCTTGCCCCATTGGCAAATATTTTATTCTCATTTTAAGGAAAAAACACTTCATTTTTTATACATTTCTTCAGAAAACAAGACTTAATATTAAGTAAATGTATCTAGACTTAAGAATGTTTTTTGCAGTGTAAAAAAATATTTATTTCTTATTATTTGTGTCTTGTTTTTTCAATACAAATATCTAATTTCTTAAGTCTTGGTTTCTGAAAAATTAAACAAAACAAAGTGAGTTTACGCTTAAAACCAGAAAAATATCTGTCAGCGAGATCAGAAAAATGAAATAAGATTATTTTTCAGACTTTACTGACAGATGTTTGTTCTTGTTATAAGCGTAAACTCACTTCATTTTGATAATTTTTTCAGTAAACAAGACATGGTATCTTGTTTAAAATAAATGCATGTTGATGTAAGAATGTTCAGACATTCGCAGTGCAAAACAAGACAGAAATACTGAGGAAGAAAGTCATGTTTTGCCGTGTGTGAACTGTATTTGTCCTCTAGAAAGCGCTGGTGTTGCAGGCGGTGCAGAAGGACCAGGATGGAGAGCGATCGGCTGCGTTATCTCTCTACTGTAGTGCACTCGAACACTTCGTTCCTGCCATTCACTGTAAGACACGAGCGTCTCTCTGTTACTCGAGTCACAATGCACTCTCATCATCTCTGTCTCTGCTCTTTCAGATGAGACAGACAGACAGAGGAAGGAAGCGCTGAGACAGAAGGTAAAGAAAGCATGTCGTTTGACCCTTCGCAAAAACCCACCCTCCTTAGTTACTGTTGCTATGTCCGACAAGCCAAGTCGCTCTCACGCTACACATCATGTTCTCACGCAGTGAAAAATACTGACAACACGCCGACAGACAAGACAGAGAAGGTTATTTTAGGTACGAAACCAGGTCATAAGCTTTCAAACTTTGTCACTTTTTAAGAAATTCAAACAATAAATACCGTTTTTTGTCTCTTTAATGTGTCGTGACAGATCACTGTCGTGCCTGAACCGATCGTCTATTCACGAAATAAACATGAATGAACTTCAGAAGGTATTTTATTTCCACCGCGGTGAGACGTCATTACTAGGGATGTAACGATATCAAAATCTCACGATACGATAATATCGCGATATGAATTCCACGATACGATATTTATTGCGATAATTTAAAAAAAAAGGACAAATGAAGAATTGGGAAAATGTTTTACAATTTTGTACATTTTAGTTAAATTATTCTATCTAATGCACTTTGAGAGTTCGAAATTAAGAGCTCCAACCCGTGTTAACTAAGAAAAGTTAAAAGGGACTCTTTAGTTGTGATATAGTGTCTCAGTCTAAATTACATCCACACTGGTGTTTTAGGAAGCCAAACAAATTATAATGTAATAATAACAGTAATAGCCATATATTGTAAAACAATTGCACTGTAAAATAAATGAAAATGAATACCTCATAGGTATATATTTTTTGCTTTACACTACAGTAGGGAAATTACAATACTTCTTTCCTAATTTCTACACTTGAAAGAGATATTTTGAATTTGGACTG